AAAGCATTTGGGTTTCACTGATGCTGAGGAAGCATTTGATTGTGACCCTGGTCCTGAAAACATCTTACTCACACGCTAATTCCATACCAGCTCGTCAATCTAACATACAAAGTGCTCCCACAGCCAGCCATCCACCAGCGCTACCTGCTCAGTTCTCTGATCTGAACAATGCTCAATCAACAGCACGGCCTGCAATGCCTTTATCTGCTTATGTTCAGACTCCTAAGTTGTCTCCATTTGACGGCACATCTCCTTGGCCAGATTTCTGTTGCGCAAAGATGCTCTGTCTACCTTGACAGATCTCGATCCCTGGGAACGCAATGATTATGACCGCATCATTGATGCGCTCAACATGCGTTTTGATCCCCCTCATCAGGCCGGCAATTATCGCGATAAATTGAGGGATCGACTCCGACAGCCCAAGGAGACTGTCACCGAATTGGCCCATGATGTGCGGAGACTGGTCAAACGAGCTTATCCGGATGCGAGAACTGATGTGAGAGAGGTGATGGCCATTGATGCATTCAGGAAGGCCCTGAATGATGTACAATTTAAATGGGCTGTCAAACAAACTGAGCCGGCTACGTTGAATGAAGCGTTGCAGGTTGCTCTCAAATATGACACTTTCCATTCCAACTGTGTTTCTCAACCTTCCCTTCGTGGCATATCTGTGTTAGCTCCATCAGTAGAGACTGCCACTACTGCGACTTCGGTAGGTCTCTCTGTTGGTGAGTCTGACACAACTGAAAGTGAGTGTTTGACAAAAGAACTCAAAGTTCTTATCACAGAGCTTAAAGATATGCCTCGGAGGCGGTTCGATGGCGATTGTTGGTACTGTGAAAAGCGTGGGCATCGAAAGGCTGAGTGTCGTAAACGTATGTATGATGAAAAGCAACGGGAAAACAAATCTAAAGAGGCACAAAAATCAAAAAACTAGAGGAAGCGTCATCTAAAGGCCCGGATGACGCTGTCCCTGTAGTGGGGTCTTATACACCACCCACAAACATACATAATGCACTATATTTACCTATCAATATGGGGGGAATCATTGTTTATTGCCTTATTGATACTGGTGCCACCATCTCAATGGTGAGCCCAGGAGTGGTAAAGAAACTTGAGGGGTTTCTTTCAGCCGTCGAGAAGTTACAATGGAAAACGGGACCCAGCGTAACCGTTGCAGATGGTCGTGGCATGCAACACCTCGGAAGCATGACCACTCTGTTATGCTTATTGCTGAACTAAGTGTTGACTTGGTGTTGGGCTATGACTTTATGGTTACTAATGCTGCTGTGTTGGATGTTTGCAATGGCACCTTGCATATGCACCACCGTCAATTTCCCTGCACTTTGGAAAGCCACTTACCAATTGTGTACAATGTCTCTAGTATGGAAACTGTCACTCTTCCTCCATACTCAGAAATGGTAGTTAAAGGTGAATTGATGGGTGGTGTGGACCGTAATACCATGCTAATAGAAATGAACCCTAAAATAATGGAACAGGATGTTTTAGTTGCACGTACACTTGTGAATCCCACTTGTGGTACCATTCCTGTCCTTGTTTCCAACTTAACGTCTGGTTCAGTCATTTTACACAAAAACACCCTGATCGCTCACGGTAGGCTTCTGGAAGATGATGAGGTGCCTGATCCATCACCATCGTTCCCTTTGGATCATTCACCGGAACATCATAAAATTTTTGAGATGGATCAGTCAGCCGGGTCTAATGATATATCTTTTGAAACAAATGAACCAATTCCAGATCATCTCAAAGATCTGTGTCAGAGAAGTACTGAATCATTGAACTTACATGAATCAAAAAAGGTCAAACAATTTATCATGTCTAATAAAGACCTTTTTGCTAAAAACAAACTTGATTTGGGTCGCACAGACGTAATTACACACAAAATAAACACTGGCACATCACAACCTGTCAAACAAGCTCCAAGGCGCAAACCCCCAGCTAAGAAAGCTGAGGGAGAAAAGGCTATTCAAGATATGCTGGATCTGGGAATAGTTAAACCATCTAAAAGTCCATGGGCATCACCCATTGTTCTTGTGCCCAAGAAGGATGGCTCTCAGCGTTTCTGCGTTGACTATAGGCGCTTAAACGAAGTCACGTTTAAAGATGCCTATCCTCTACCTCGCATTGATGACACACTGGATTCTCTATCTGGCTCCAAACTCTTTAGTACTCTTGATTTGGCCAGCGGCTATTGGCAGGTCCTTATGGACCAGGAAGATGCCGTTAAAACTGCTTTTACCACTCATCGAGGGCTATTCGAATTTACAGTTATGCCTTTCGGCCTCTGTAATGCGCCCGCCACTTTTGAGAGACTAATGGAGTGTGTCCTTGCGGGACTTCGATATGAGTCTTGTTTGGTGTACTTGGACGATATCATTGTCTTTAGTAGCACTATTGATGAACATCTCCAGCGGCTGTCTGAGGTGTTTGACCGTCTGAGAACAGCTGGATTGAAATTGTCACCTAAGAAGTGTAACTTGTTCAAATCTGAAGTTGCCTTTTTGGGACACACTGTCTCCAGCCAGGGCATTGCTCCTGATCCTGCAAAAATTGAGCTCATCCTCAATTGGCCCACTTCAAAGAAGCTTCGTGATGTGCAAGCTTTTGTGGGTTTGGGGTCCTATTACCGACCGTTAACTCGACTCTCTGAGAAGAATTTAAAGTTCTTATGGACTGATGAATGTGAGGCCTCATTCACTGACTTGAAGGAGCATTTTCGCCATACAGAGATTGCCTTTCCTGACATGTCTTTGCCTTTTGTGCTAGACTGTGATGCATCTTTCTGTGGGCTTGGTGGTGTGCTCTCTCAATATCATGATGGTGAAGAACGACCCGTTGATTTCTATTCCTCCTCTCTCAACCATGCCGAAAGACAATACTGTGTCACTCGTAAAGAGCTACTGGCAATTGTCAAGTCAGTAAAACACTATCACCACTTCCTTTATGGTAGTGCCTTCAAGATTCGCACCGATCATGGTGCACTGGCGTGGTTGATGAGATTTAAGGAGCCAGAAGGCCAACTGGCTCGATGGCTTCAGGTATTGGGGACGTACAATTTCACCATAGAATACCGCCCTGGACGACAACATGGCAATGCTGATGCTCTCTCCCGGAGACCTTGCGTTGATTGCAAGCACTGCAATCGACAAGAGGAGATGGGGAGAGTGTCACCGTCGAAATTGCCTCAACCAGCTTCACCTAAAGCTGATAGTGTAGTCGATAATCAGGAAACACTTCCTTCTGAAGCTGTCCCTAGTGTACGTCTAGTGCTTAACATGGTACCAAAGTTGTCAATCCATGTTGCCTCTTGCACTCCTAGTGACAGCGCTTCAACACCTGAACCAGAACCCCTTACTGGGTGCAACTGGTTGAATGGTGTTTCTATGGAAGAGTACCCAACTGCAGTGGATGAAGATCCATTGCTTGCTCCCTTGTTCAAATGGTTAAACAGTGGTCACCGACCCCCTTGGGGCAATCTTGCTTCATCGTCTCCTGAATTGAAACGTCTTTGGTCTCAATGGGACCGACTGCGAATTCATCAGGGGATGTTGCAGCGAAAATGGCTTGATGGGTCCGTTACCACTTGGCAGGTGGTTGTGCCAAAATCTCTACAGCATGATGTCCTTGCTGGTATGCATGACTCCCGTGACGCTGGTCACTTAGGTGTTTCAAAAACTATCCACCGTGTCCGCCAGAGCTACTATTGGCTTGGGTTCAAAGCTGATATCGCTCGTTGGGTGGCTGAGTGCATCATCTGTCAAAGGCGTAAACCACCCGCTAGGAAGGCTAAGGCTCCAATGAAAACTTATAATGTTGGGGCTCCCTTGGAAAGGGTTGCTCTTGACATTCTTGGCCCTTTGCCTGAATCACTGTCCGGAATCAAGTATGTCCTAGTCATTGAAGACTACTTTTCCAAATTCTTGGAAATTGTTGCTATGATTAATCAGGAGGCATCAACAGTTGCTAATGCTTTCATGACCGAGTTTATTTGCCGGTACGGTGCTCCTTTAATTTGTCACTCAGACCAAGGTCGGCAATTTGAGGGTCGAGTATTCCAAGAACTTTGCTCCCTTTTGGGCACAGTTAAGACCAGAACAACAGCCTACCATCCCCAGTCAGATGGGATGGTAGAGCGTTCTAATAGAACCATTGAGGCCATGTTGGCGAAGGTTGTTGCCCCTCACCACCGTGATTGGGATGACCACCTCCCATACATAGCAACTGCCTATCGCGGCTGCCTATCGCGGCTGCCTATCGCAGCGCCAGGCACGAAACCACTGGTTACTCCCCAGCTTTACTAATGTTTGGGCGGCAACCACGACTAGCATCTGAGCTTGTCTTGGGGCCACCACCAGAACACTTTCATGGCTCTGAACCCACATATGTCACCGATTATGTTCAAAAGCTACAAGAAACACTTTCCAGTACACATGAAATAGCAAGGGGTAACATTCACATACAATCTGAAACTCAGAAAAAATATTATGATCTCAAATCAAGTGCTCAAAACATTAGTGTAAACGATGCAGTCTGGCTACATGTACCAGTCACGAAAACTGGCCTGAGTCCGAAATTTTTGAATCCATGGCAAGGACCTTACCAGGTTGTTGCAAAACTCTCTGATACCACATTTCAAATTTTGGTCAAAGACACTCTAAAAGTTGTCAACGAAAACAGACTCAAAACATTTAAAGGACTTAAACCTGAGTGGGGCGACATAGATGGCGATTCAGCGAATCTTCAGCCCACGGCTGAAGAGGCTGCTGTTGTAGGTGAAGACGAACCACTGGAGCCTGAAAATTCTACTAAAAGCCCTATTTCCATTTCAGGACCCACTGACAATCGTTCGAGGAGAAGACAACGACAACGACCAAAATATTTAGATGATTATGTGGACTAAGTGAGCATTCTTTTGTTTCAGGGAAGGTGGCCATTCCAGTGCGAGAAGAGAAACAAAGGCGGACGTCCTTGTATCGCACGTTTCCAAAAAGGTTATCAATTGCAACGACACATTATGGAATGCCATCAATATCTCACCTGTGGAATAAATGGTTGCGCCATTAAAATGCTTAAAAAGGACTCTGAATCCATGATTCGCCATAGACTCAATCATCAGGCAAGGGACAAATATTATCAGTCAAAAACACAATCCAAGCAAAATGATGTTATGTTCTCTCCTAAAGTGGATCTGTCAAAGTCTTGGACAGTTCCTGAAAAACCACCCAGAAATCTACTAGATTGTGAACAGTCAGATACAGAAACTGTCTTGTACGATGAGACAACATATGTTCATGACCCTGTTGATTGGAGCAAGTTGTCGTCAACAGTTGCTAAATCGCCACCTAGGCCAACGCCAAAAGATGCCATGCCAACTCAAGCCTATGCGGCCGAAGTAAGCGAAAGAATTGCTCAACTCAATAAGGGACATATTAGTAATGATATAACCATGGCTTCTTCAAAACCTGCAGCAAAATCTACTTCAAAGCCTTTCTCATACAAAACCAGGCTTCCTTCTGGCATGAAGTTAAAGCCCAAAAGCTCCAAAGTAACTGTTGAACATGCTGTAAAGAAAGCCAGAGTGATAAAATCAAAATCTCAATCAAAGTTGGTAAAGAAAGTGACTGCCTTGAATAATCCACCAATGAAGGATGGACTTTCGACATTGGCCAATAAAAAAGTGGAAGTTTCTGCGCCTATTACCAAGGAGCCTGTGCAAAAAGAACTAGCGGTACCAAAACCCGCAGCCTCAGTGTCAAAGAGGTCAGATAAAGATCCAGTGCAACAGGACGCACCAGCCGTAGAGGATACCTTGAACAAGGTAGCAGTGCTGCCGAGGTCCCGCAGACCTCCCGTTCCTATTCCAACCCATCCCATTGTGCTGCCAGTTTTACCTACTGAAGCCCTGGACTTGTCTACTGGAACTCGCACTATTGTAGCGAGGATTGTGATCGCAGACGTTTCAAACAATAATGAAAACAACAATCATTCCGGACAGATAAACTGTCCGTACTGTAAATCATTAGTTACAGTAACTCTAGTTTAACTTAAACTACGTATTATGGTGTGTTGGTGTTTCGGTGTATGTCCGTGGAAGGACATCTTTTTCAAAAGGGGGGGGTAGTGTGATGACCGTCCATTTTTCATTAGTCAGTCCCCATTTACTCCAGTTCAGACGGTCACACAAGTGTAATACTTACCCTCTCTACTGTTTTTAGCAAGTGTCACAGCGTATTTTATTCATATTCCATGTTCTATTTTTATTGTTTACATTTTTGTGTTATTGTTATTGTTTTGATTTGGGTCAGGGGTCAAAACCTCACTTCCGGTCAAATTGTAAACAGTCCGCAATTACATCAAATTTAAGTACTTTCTCAGCAACGTTGGCTTTTTAAATTTAGTGGTATATTTTCCTGTAGTCTTCTTATTTATCATGCCATGCTCATTTTTGCCGGATCGTGTTTGGTTTTTATGTATTTTAGCGGTCAAAGTTGGTGACCTGACTTGACCCAACTTTTTCAGACGTCACGTGACTAATACTGACCAATCAGACCGAACTTGACCACACTTTCCTGACGTCGTTTCCATCGAGCCGACAGAATTTCTCTGCGACAATTTCAACCGAATTAGTGATAATCGACTCAATTTCGTAGGGATCTACTGATACACGTATGACGCACAACCCCAGGCACCAACACAGGGCAAGATCTCGCTCCTTGCGTTATTGAGTAAGGAGATATCTGCAGTTGAACTTAGAGCTCGATTTGTGGTTGTTGATTTTGGTTTCGCACATTTTTACTGAGAACATTTTGAAGGAATCCAGTTTGATTGTTCACTTCTACCAAATTTCTGAAGTGAAATCACGTTCTAATACATATGATTTATAAATGGAACCGTTCTCAAGTGACATTGACGAATATTTCGAATTCACGTGGTTGAGTTGATTGAACTTTGCACTCAGTTGACCTGTAGTAGTTCTTATTGAATCTAGCCTTCAGTGCAATTGAGATATATTTTGCGCTACACAGAGACACTATTTGAGTATTTGAGTATTGCACCGAAGCACCAACACATCTGATTACATCAATATTGGCATTCTCAGAATCATGCTTTGATCTTAGTGATATTTGAGGATATAGTGATATAGCCTAATTATTAGATCTAGTTGACATTGTTTTATTTATATTTATTTGTAACATTACCTGCTGACAGGCAGACCTGCTATTCCAGCAGACCCAGTAAACATTAGTGTTTTTATATTATCATATAACCTGCTGATACTAGGCAGACCTGCTATCAAAGCAGACCCAGTACTCAAGTATTTACATTGTCATATGACTGCTCATAAGGCAGAAATAGTGAACTTGCCACAGTGAACATTAGAATACATACTATTATAACCTGCTGATACTAGGCAGACCTGCTATTCCAGCAGACCCAGAGAACATTAGTGTACTGTATACAGTGGTTTCAGTAACTTTTTTTACAAGAGGCAGACGAGAAATACAAGAGGCGGCATTCAAAATAACCAATTTTACACTCCCGGAAATGCAAATTCTTGTTATACACTGGTGATCCGCTCGATTACACTCGTTACCGAAACGGTTCGTTTTGGCGTAACAAAATGTCGGAACGTCAAAGGTGCGATTTTTCTTTTTTCCTTATTTCACGCGTTGTAGGCAGAATCCCAACGCCATTTTTTCTCAAAAACTAGTATCAGCATCATATGTTTTAGAAAATGTACATGTTTGCGAAAAAAAATGTCAGAAGACGACAGAATCGTCGATTTAATTCCTCACTTTAACGGTTTGGGTTAAAAGTGCAGATCTTAACTGTTTTTCGAAAAACCATTTATGTAACTTAAGTGAGGAATTAAATAGACGATTCTGTTGTCTTCCGAACTATTTAGTCAAAAATATGTATATTTTCTTAAACATATGATACTGATACATGTTTGTGTTAAAAATGTCGTGGGAATTCTGCCTACAACGTGTGAAATAAGGAAAAAAGAAAAATTGTACCTTCGATGTTTCGACATTTTGTTACCAAAACAAACCGTTTCGGTAACCAGCGTAATTGAGTGGATCACCAGTGTTATTAGAGCGTCGGCGCACCGAAAGTGGATAAATGGGCAGGGAATGTCAAATTAAATTCACATTCTGATGTGCATTATGCTATTGCTATAACATGGGATCACTGATCAGATGGGTTTGATGTAATCCATGGTTATTATTGTTCTTGTAAGATTAAAGGCAAAATATACTACGTCATGTCACAAAAGTGCAAGGATGAACACTTCACCTGTGAATATATTTCAGACAACGTATCTCATACACAAGAGTATTGTACAGTCATTCAAAGTTTTGAACATTGAATCCTATTTGAGAGGTGATTTAAAAGATTTTACATATTGCAGGTTTTCCAAAGTCATTTCCATGTGTGATATTGTCAATTTAATTGACCACAAGACACGGGCTACACAAAATAACATCTTGAACTGTAGAATGACTAGGGCAACTCATAGAATGCCATTTTTACTTTATATATTCTTATAAAATAAATTATGATTTACTCTTCCACATGTTTCATTTTACAAATTCAAATGCACTTCCCGGGTTGAACACTCAATATAGAATGCAACCTGTGTGACGTATAGAATGCAACCTGTGTGTATACAATAAGTACTGATGAAATGATGTGACTTTTTAATCTCCCCCTAAAACTTAAAGTGAGAATCAGATATAGCGAGCTGGCTTTACAAAATTGTTTCAATTTTAGAATATTTTTGGGTCATGTCATTCCTTGTCATGCCTATTTTCTAAAAATCACAAAAGTGCATACTTTATTCCAGGAAAACTAAAGATTTTTACAAAAATGTATTATTTTTCTATAAGAATGGTTACCATTCTTATTATTTGGGAGAATTTGAACATTTTCCCCTCATTTTTGCACTTTGAATCATTAATAACTTCACCAATTTATAACATATTGTGAATCTTTTGGGAGATATTGTATTTGACATTGTAAGGAATAGTTTGGTAGGTCAATTATACATGTTGTTTGTAATTTTGTCACCCCCTATAGATCAGATTCTGCCTTTAAGACAATATTTGGCTTCTGACAACCGGCGAATTATAGAAAACAAACGGCGATTTTGGACTCTCGCCCCCTGCTATTGAAAGCCCAGATAGTATATATTGTTCTCCATCTGTTTACTTAGGCAGATACCTGATAATCATATTTGATCTCATATGAAAAGGATCTCAACATTTAAGTTCTTGTTTCTCTGTTGTACATAGACTTTTAACAGAGCTGTGAATTCTGTGCATAAAGAATCAAACATTTTACAGTATTAACAGCAACTGCAATACAGTAGTATTGGGCGTATATTCCAATATTAACATTGAATCGCATATAACGGTATTACGCAATACGCCTTTACGCCATAATTAGATTTCGAAGTATATCAAAGCATGATATAAATCAGCCAATGGTGTAAATAAGTAATTTACACTAGTCCTAGTGGTGCTTGTTTGGTTCTGATAAACCACCTGTGCATAATTAAGAGTTTATACAATAATCATTTTATTCTTTGATAATTATTTACATTTTAAATCTCTTGTTTTGTTACAGTTTGGGTAAACACATACTTTTATGTCGCCGCTGTGACATAGCTTTATTACCCTTACTCTTCAACAATGTTAAAGCCCTGACTGTACATTAGCCAGCCTGACAAGTTCACATCATAATCACATATATAAACACAGGGCCATTACACTTTCATGCTCACAGAAGTGTACAGGAGGCAGCAAGTACTTGCCCCTCTCTTTAAATACAATAAAGCAGACATAAAAGACTTCATGACAAAGGTTAAAAAATATACTGTCAAACAGAATAACAAAGAGCTATTCTCAGCCAAAGTTAAGTCTAAACTGCTTAAGGTACCTAAAGAATGCAAAGACCTAGCCAATTTGTATGGAGGACCCATGGTCCTGTGCTCACACAGTTTGGAACCTTCAGAGGAATATATATCCTGACTTTCAAACAAAAATATTGATTTGGATTTGTAGTCTCGAACTTTGAGAAACTTAGATAGCACAGTAGTGTGGCCTAGTTTGATGACCTCTGACCTTGAAAATTAAAGGTCAAATCCTAAAACTAATGTCTGATTTGAACTCCTGGCAACTTGTAGATGATTTTCAAAAAAATATTGGTCAAATAGAAGCAAGTTGAAAAATAACTTATTTTTACTGTTTTTTTACATCAAATATCTCAAAAACGCTAAAAATTTGATGCTGACTTATATTGAGCAATATGTAGGGGATGCT